GAAAAGTGCTTCTTTGTCCTCTCTCACTTTCGTTCGTTTCATTCGGTATAAAGTAAATAATTTAGCATGTAGAAAGGGTTGTCCAAGTTTTTTAGAGTGTTTCGGGTGTCCTTTTCTTCCTTTTCTGTAGCCACCCACCTTAACAGGACACCCACACCAGAGACTCCGATTTTGGAAACTTGAAGGAAAGGCGCTCCCCTTTTTCCACCGTTGCCTTCCTGTCGTTCCTTGCGCAAGAGGCAATAAAAGAAAGAAATGATGTTACATGTATCCAAAATTAGGGTGTCCTGTTTTTCTTTTCTGTAACAAGACCTACTTTTCACGGACACCCACACCGGAGACCTCCATTTTTTTGAACCCTTTGAAAGAAAGCAGGCCGAAGACTTAAGATTTTCTGTGCTCCCAAAAGACAAATCGCAAGCACCGTCTTCCTAAGATTTTGGAGAAGGGGATGCTCCCAAAACACGCCCCCCAAGATTTTGGCAAAATGTGCTCCCAAAAGACAAGTCGCAGGCGCAGCCCTCCAAAAAATTTGGACAAGTTTATGCTCCCAATCAGTTTTTCTTGTTAAAGATGAGTTTACATGTCTTCCTACCTTGTTCCTTTCTTCTTCCGGTTCGCTCGCTCGTTCTCTTCTCTCTCTCTCTCTCTCTCTCTCTCTCTCTCGCTCTCTCCATCTTTTTGCTTTTATGGGCGGCATGTCTTGTAGAATTGGAAGACGAGGAGGAGGGTGAACTACAAAGCAGAGATTTGCTGAAGCAGAGAGGGAGTGAGACACGGCGAGGCATAGAGAGAGAAGCATAGACCGTGGGAGAGAAAGGGTCTCTTGACTCTTAGCTTCCCCTTTCTCAAGTCCATATTAATTTTCTTTCTTGTGGAAAAGAAAGAGGAAAAGAGAAGAGAGAAGAGGAATTTACATGTTCTTCCTACCTTGTTCTTGTCCCTCCTTCTTCTCTCCCCCCTGACCCTGTCTCTTTTTCTCTCTATCTCCTCATTTTTCTGTTAAAGTGGTACGGGAAGGCGGATTGCCGGTCAAAATTTGCCGGGATCCCCTTGGCACTCTGCAAAAGTCCTGCAAATACCACACAAAACGGGAAAGGGGTAGGAACAACATTTGGGGGGGCAAAATCGCAAGCCCTGCTCCCTAAGATTTGGTCCCTAAGATGTTAGGTTCAAGTTTTCCTCCAAAAAGCCAAATCGCAAGCCCTGCTCTCCAAAATGTTGGGTTCAAGTTTTCCTCCAAAGAGACAAATCGCAAGCCCTGGTCCCTAAGATTGTGGGGTCATTCTTTGCTCCAACGAGTCAAATTCACAAGTCCTGGTACCTAAGATTTGGGGTGGCTCTTTGGAGGAAAACTTGAACCCACAATCTGCGGGACCAGGGCTTGCGATTTGACTCTTTGGAAGAAAACTTGAACCCAAGTTTTTCGGGACCAGGGCTTGCGATCTGGCTCTTTGGAGGAAAAATTGAACCCACCATCATATGGACCAGGGCTTGCGATTTGGCTTTTTGAAGCCAAAATCTTAGGGACCAGGGCTTGCGATGTGACTCTTTGGAGGAAAACTTGAACCGAACATTTTGGGGACCAGGGCTTGCGAACTGGCTCTTTGGGGGAAAACTTGAACCCAAAATTGGGGGACCAGGGCTTGCGATTTGACTGATTGGAGCAAAGAATGACCCCGCAATCTCAGGGACCAGGGCTTGCGATTTGGCTCTTTGGAGGAAAACTACTTGGAACCCACAATCTTAGGGACCAGGGCTTGCGATTTGGCTTTTTGGAGCAAAACTGGAACCCAAAATCTTAGGGGCCGGGGCTTGTGATTTGGCTCTTTGGAGGAAAACTTGAACCCCAAATCTTAGGGACCAAGGCTTCCGGTTTGCCCGCAATCTTAGGGACCAGATTTGGGTCTTTGGAGGAAAACTTGAACCCAAAATCTTAGGGACCAGAGCTTGCGATTTGGCTCTTTGGAGAAAGCTTGAACCCAGAATCTGCGGGACCAAGGCTTGCGATTTGGCTCTTTGGAGGAAGACTTGAACCCAAAATCTTAGGGACCAGGGCTTGTGATTTGGCTCTTTGGAAGAAAAATTGAACCCAAAATCTTAGGGACCAGGGCTTGTGATTTGTCTCTTTGGAAGAAAAATTGAACCCAAAATTTTGGGGACCAGGGCTTGCGATTTGGCTGTTTGGAGCAAAACATGACCCCACAATCTTAGGGACCAGGGCTTGCGCTTTGACTCTTTGGAGGAAAACTTGAACCCAAAATCTTAAGCACCAGGGCTTGCGATCTGACTTTTTGGAGGAAAACTTGAAGCCAAAGTTTCAGGGACCAGGGCTTGTCATTTGGCCTTTTGGAGCAAGACTTGAAGCCAAAGTTTTAGGGAGCAGGGCTTGCGATTTGGCGATTTTGGAGCAAAGCTTGAAGCCAAAGTTTTAGGGAGCAGGGCTTGCGATTTGGCTCTTTGATGTTCTTTGGAGCAAAACTTGAACTCAAAATCTTAGGGACCTGGGCTTGCGATTTGACTGTTTGGAGCAAAGAAATGACCCCACGAAACCTTGAAAGAAAAGGTGCTCTTTGTTCACTCTCACCTTTCGTTCGTTTCATTTCTGAACGCTTTAATTTAAGTATGAATATCTAATGTAATATGTAAAGAGGGGTGTCCAAGTTTTTTTTGAGTGTTTCGGGTGTCCTTTTCCTTTTTTGTAGCGAAATATTAAATACACACCCGCACCGGAGATCTTGTTTTTGGAACCTTGAAAGAAAAGTGCTTCTTTGTCCTCTCTCACTTTCGTTCGTTTCATTCGGTATAAAGTAAACAATTTAGCATGTAGAAAAGGGTTGTCCAAGTTTTTTAGAGTGTTTCGGGTGTCCTTTTCTTCCTTTTCTGTAGCCACCCACCTTAACAGGACACCCACACCAGAGACTCCGATTTTGGAAACTTGAAGGAAAGGCGCTCCCCTTTTTCCACCGTTGCCTTCCTGTCGTTCCTTGCGCAAGAGGCAATAAAAGAAAGAAATGATGTTACATGTATCCAAAATTAGGGTGTCCTGTTTTTCTTTTCTGTAACAAGACCTACTTTTCACGGACACCCACACCGGAGACCTCCATTTTTTGAACCCTTTGAAAGAAAGCGGGCCGAAGACTTAAGATTTTCTGTGCTCCCAAAAGACAAATCGCAAGCACCGTCTTCCTAAGACTTTGGAGAAGGGGATGCTCCCAAAACACGCCCCCCAAGATTTTGGCAAAATGTGCTCCCAAAAAGACAAGTCGCAGGCGCAGCCCTCCAAAAAAATTGGACAAGTTTATGCTCCCAATCAGTTTTTCTTGTTAAAGATGAGTTTACATGTCTTCCTACCTTGTTCCTTTCTTCTTCCGGTTCGCTCGCTCGTTCTCTATCTCTCTCTCTCTCTCTCTCTCTCGCTCGCTCTCTCCATCTTTTTGCTTTTATGGGCGGCATGTCTTGTAGAATTGGAAGACGAGGAGGAGGGTGAACTACAAAGCAGAGATTTGCTGAAGCAGAGAGGGAGTGAGACACGGCGAGGCATAGAGAGAGAAGCATAGACCGTGGGAGAGAAAGGGTCTCTTGACTCTTAGCTTCCCCTTTCTCAAGTCCATATTAATTTTCTTTCTTGTGGAGAAGAAAGAGGAAAAGAGAAGAGAGAAGAGGAATTTACAAGTTCTTCCTACCTTGTTCTTGTCCCTCCTTCTTCTCTCCCCCCTGACCCTGTCTCTTTTTCTCTCTATCTCCTCATTTTTCTGTTAAAGTGGTACGGGAAGGCGGAATGAGATGAAGGCAGCGTCCTCCCCTGGAGGCACCTGCCCACAAAAAAAGGAGCATCAGCTTCCAAGAGATTTGCAGAAGGAGAGAGGGAATGAGACAACGCAGGGCATGGAGAGAAGCGTAGACCGTGGGGGAGAGAGAGCGAGAGGGCCTCTTGGCTTTCCCCTTATCTCGTTCTCTGTTTAGACAAGAAAAAAAGGGAGTTTGCACCTTCTTCTCGCTCCTCACTCGTCTCTCTTCTCCACACCCCTCTCGCGCTCCTTTTTTTCCCCCTTTTTCAGCGGGCTTGAGGACAAGGGGTTTCCCCACGACCGCCCCACGCTGCACTCACTCTCTCTCTCTCTCTCTCTCTCGCTCTGTTTTTTCTTTCTTTTCTGAGAAGAACAGGAAGGGGTGGAAGCTGATGCTGGGTGCCTCCAGGGGGGGGACGTTGCCTTCCTCTCATTCGTACCACTTTAAAAAGAATGAGGAGATATAGAGAAGGAGTGACAGGGTCAGGGGGAGAGAAGCGGGAGGGACAAGAACAAGGTTAGAAGAGGCCATGATAGTACGACTTACGTGACAGCAGCGTGCCCTCGTGGGAACGTCAAGTTTTCCTCCAAAGAGCCAAATCAAGCCCTGGTCCCTAAGATATTGGGTTCAAGTTTTCTTCCAAAGAGCCAAATCGCAAGCCCTGGTCCCTAAGATTTTTGGGTTCAAGTTTTCTTCCAATCTAAGAACATGTCTGGCGACCCCGAAAAGACATAGACTCCCAGTTTCCCACGTGACAGCCTCGTACCCTCGTCGGAATGGGTTTGGTAATAACAAAACCCGAGTGCCAGCTTCCAAATAAACCCTATTTAAGCCACCCACCCCCCCCCCCCCCCCCCCCCCCCAATGTGGGTTCCAGAGCTTAGGGCGCTCTTGTTTGCTGCTTCGGCATCCTGGCATCTTGGGTTTAGGGTTTAGGGTTTAGGGTTTAGGGTTTAGGGTGCAGAGAGCGCTGTCGATCGAGCAAGCCCGCTGCGGTGCGACCTCCTTCGCTATTTAAGCCAGAGGCCCTACTCAAACTTAAGCCCTTCCTTCCCAATAGCCCCCTTAGGAATTGTTTTGTGTTTTTCCTGTATATAAAGCCCGAAGGAATATCAACAATTTCATTTTTATTGAGGTTCTAAGGGGGAGTATAGTTCCCCCGAACTCTAGAACCCTAAACCTCTAGAACCCTAAACCCGCAACCTGAGGAAGAGCCATCTCGACAGATTCAAGAGCTTCGAGAAGTTGCCTCCGAAGCAGGCATTACCTGACAGGGCATCTAGGGCATCTAGGCCTTTAGGGTTTATCTAGAGGCATGATAGGGCATCCAGGGCTGTAGGGCTTTAGGGCTTTAGGGTTTAGGGTGTAGGGTTTTAGGGTTTAGGGTTGGGTTGGACCCTAAACCCTAAACCCTAAACCCTAAACCCTAAACCCAAAGGCCTTTATGAGTTTGTGAGTAGTACAAGTACGACAGCCCCTTTTAAGATTGTTGCTCTTCGGGGCTGATGCTCTTTATGAGATGTCAGGCGTGAGCAGGTCAGGTAGGACTTCGCTTCCCAGAGGCGGGGTGTTGGTCCCTCCAACATAGCCCTGAAGAAGCACGGAAACGCAATACGGTTTCCTCTAAACCCTAAACCTTAAACCCTAAACCCTAAGCCCGAAGCCCGAAGCCCGAAGCCCTCCAGCAAATGACGGGCTCGGCCAGTTCCGGTGCCATTGGGAGGCCGTGCTGGCGCTCTGCGCCGACATGGGGGCCGAGGATTGGAACAACCAGGAGGCACGTGCTCGTTTGTGCCCTAAAGCCCTAAACCCCTAAACCCCTAGACCCCTAAACCCCTAAACCCGAAACCCTTAACCCTAAACCCCAAACCTTTAGCCCGAAAATCCTAAAACCCTAAGCCCGAAAACCTAAACCCTGTACAGGGTTCAGGGCTCCGAATGCGAGGCATCAGTAGGTTTAGGGCTTTGTCTCAGGGTGTGTCAGGGGTCGTTGGGTTTTAAGGTTTAGGGTCCAGGGTTTAGGGGTTAAGGTTGAGGCTTTGTGGTGTTGTTCGACATTGGGCCCCTTTTCGTTCTGTGGGTCTCTGTATGAGGAAATCTGCCAGTAACTGTGCCTTCAAGTGCCCCTTAAGTACAGTGTTGAGATTTATAGGGCGTCAGGGTTTCCGGATTTTGGGGTTTATAGAGTTGTCGGGGCATGTGGGATCAGGTTGTGGGCTTCTAGGGCTTCGAGTGACTTCCTTGATTCTTGTGTTGCTCTGAAGTGTTACAACCTGAACTCTAAAACCCCTACGCCCCAAACTCCAAAAACCGAAAACCCCTTAAAACCCTTAAAGCCCTTAACGCCCTTAACGCTTGCAAAGCCCGTAAAGCCCTTAAAACCCTTAAAGCCCTTGAAGCCTAAACCCTAAACCCTAAACCCTAAACCCTAAACCCTAAACCCTAAACCCTAAACCCTAAACCCTAAACCCTTGAAGCCCTGGGCCGATAACCCGAAGCCCGAAAACACAAGGAGTTGGGAGGGCAGCAGGTTGACCTAAAAATGAATCCCTCAACCCCAGGGTTTAGGGTTTAGGGTTTAGGGTTCAGGGTTCAGGGTTTAGGGTTTAGGGTTTAGGGTTTAGGGTTTAGGGTTTAGGGTTTAGGGCCAGCATCCCGAAGCTCCCGTTGCCCTATTGTGGGGGTCCCTCTTTTGGTGAGTGCATAGTATCTAGCGTCCGAAGCATAGGCCCTTCATTTGGGTCCCCTGTTTTTAAGGGTTTTGGGTTTAGGGTTTAGGGTTTAGGGTTTGGGGTTTAGGGTTTAGGGTTTAGGGTTTAGGGTTTTAACCCTTATCTACACTATTCAGAATAAGGGCCCATACTTCGGATCCCTTTAAATCCCTTAAAACAAGGGTAGGGGACCATACCAAGGGCCCATGGTTCAAACCTGAAGTATTAGGCGTCCTTCTCTTGGCAAATAAGGGGGAGACCCAACCTCACATAGCAATGCCTCCCACAGCGCTGGAGGAGAACCGCAAGTACGCAGAAAAACACTTGCGCATTCTCTCCGGCCCGGGGGCCTGGAGAGCGGAAACGGTGGAGGGGTTGGACATGGAGACGCAGAGACGCAGAGACACATACACACACACACACACATACACACACACACACAGACAAACACAGAGTGAGAGAGAGAGAGAGAGAGAAAACCCCTCGAGGCCTCACAGACTTGCAGCAGAACCTGAAGCCCATGCTGTCTAGACCCTGTCGCCTATATGCTGCAACCCCTATAACCCTGTACATGTAAACCCTAAACCCTAAACCCTAAACCCTAAACCCTAAACCCTAAACCCGAGACGCGGCAGATCCAGGTCTCTATGGGGTCGTGCGGCCCTACGATGATGTGAAGCCTCTCGGCAAGGGGTCGAGCTGGTAGGGTTTAGGGTGTAGGGTTTAGGGTTTAGGGTTTAGGGTTTAGGGTTTAGGGTTTAGGGTTTAGGGTTTAGGGTTTAGGGTTTAGGGTTCAGGGTTCAGGGTTGAGGGTTTAGGGTTTAGGGTTCTTCGAAACCTTGCAGTTGAACTTCTACTGGTGTTCCAAGTATGGTGAAATGGGCTTTCCAAACTGCCGAAACACCTCAAAAACCCCGAAAGCCGTTACAACACCCGCGAGCCCTCTAAACGAAGAAAAGCCCAGGCCCTAACAGCCCGAACCCTAATCCCTAGACCCCCCGAAATCACCGGGAGTCCCGAAAACTAAGAACAGCTTGAACCCAACTCCTCTAAACCCTAAACCCTAAACCCTAAACCCCACACCCTAACCACGCGTGCCTCCTTCCTCTGAGGCCGGTCCGAGACATCCCCATGAACGCGAAGGTGAAGACCAAGAAAGGCACGTTGCCGCAGACCCTTGGGCTTTTCTCGGGTTTAGTGTTTAGGGTTCAGGGTTCAAGGTTTCGGGTTTAGGGTTAGGTTTTAGTGTTTAGGGTTTTAGGTTTAGAGGGTAAGCCCCCAAAACCCTGAAGAGGCCAAAATACACCCTAAACCCCTGACCCCTCTTGGGGTGAAGTGTTGTCTCATTGTGTGTTGGGTAGATTGATGTTTCCCTCTGCGGTTGCGGGAGCTGACAGCACCGGATCGGGTGGGCTGCGCACACCGCAGTTGTGTGCCGATGCTGGTTTCGCAGGTGCATCCAATGTGCTTCTGGACTTGTCCGAATTACCGCTTGCAGAAACCCTATGTTTCCTAAACCCTAAACCCTAAACCCTAAACCCTGAACCCTAAACCCTAAACCCTAAACCCTAAACCCTAAACCCTAAACCCTAAACCCTAAACCCTAAACCCTAAACCCTAAACCCTAAACCCTGAACCCTACCTGCAGCTCCCCAAGATGGTTCTTGAATGAAAAGCTGACAGTTGTTAAGTGCTTTGCTGGCAGGGCTCTATCTGACAGAGTTCTGGGGCGACTCAATCACGAAGCAGCCGCTTGCCTCGTTCTGCAGATCCTAAGCCCTAAGCTCCTAGACCCTAGACCCTAAACCCTAAACCCTAAACCCTAAACCCTAACTCTATGGGTGCTCTAGTCAGTCTTGGATGCCCAGTCCCTTTCCGATTGTTTGGGCTTGACCTTCCAAGCCCTATGAAAACCTCAAATGGAGGTGCCGGTTTGTTTCCCAGGCTGTTCTATGACCTAGGGTTGCATCGAAACTCGGATGGAAGAGGGGGTTTACGAAGACCTAAACCCTAGTTACAATCCCTAATCCTTACTCCCTAATTTCTCAACCCAACCCAATTCCCTAGACCCTCAACCTAAACCCAATGCTTGGGGCTTGGGATTTACGAGGACTAGGCAGCTGTTGTGGCCCTCCTCAGACGCAGCAGACCAACCCTGAAACTCAAGAACGGGCTAAAGAGTTTAGGCCTTCTGGGGATTATGGGTAGGCCTAACACCTTAAGCTCCTTCCGATGCCCTTTCCGAAAGGACTGCGAGCCGGAAGGGGTCAGACATGAGGAACTGAGAACGTGGCGGAAAGACTCTGAACCAGCTTTTCCTCATATAAAACCACCCGCCCCCACAAGAAGATTACTGCAAATTAGAAAGGGTTTCGCAAGTTCATATACCTAGCAGTCTAGAATAGATGGTCCCAGTTTGAGGGTTCTCTTGGTCCTCCAAGGAAGCCCAGCGACGATTCCCTTAAACCCTAAACCCGAAACCCTGAACCCTGAACCCTAAACTCCCTAAACCCTAAAACCGGGATGCGCACAGAGGCTCAGCAAAGATCTGAAATCCATCAGCGAGGGCAACAAAGGCCCTGGTGCTTGTCTGGAGGGGGTTAGAAATTGGCTTGTTCTCTAAATTGCCTACTCGTTCCTAGTAGGGAATGAGGGAGTGAGGTACCCTATATAATCCTTTGAAGGCTATAAAACTATATATAGGGGGATACAAGGTGCCTCATCCCCTCATTCCCTACCAAGAGGAGGATTCGGGGTTTTTGGGTCCTTATTTCAAGGGCGACGTACTATATAGTGGATCCATGAAGGGAGCGGCATTTAGAGAACCACCCAAGTGTTGCAAAGGCTTTGGGGAAGGGGGTTTTGGGGTTTGTTGTGGGCTTTGCAGGTTGGGGGCTGGAGGAGAGCGCAGAGCTAAGGGAATGACATGGTGCAGGTTCATCCTCCCCACGAGCCCCCGAAACTCCCTTGCGAGCCTCCCCTTTAAATCTTAAAATCTTAACCCCTCATTCGGGAGGATTCCCTTCCCTTCCCCCCCCCCAACAAAAAACCTAACCCCAAACCCTGAACAAAAATCAACAATAACAGAACATCAACAAGCCTTGCTGCCTGCAAGATGAGAAGACCTTGCAGACACTGGCACTCTCAACTCCCACACTCCCAAATCCTCGCCTCAAGACAAGCCTAAACCCCATGAATGCAGGGGTCGGAATCATTCCTGATCGTGTTCCATTATGGTCAGTTGATAAGGTGTACTACAAACACCCCCCAAAACTGTAGTCCTCAAAACTAGGGGCCTTCTTGTGTCTTCTTACAAAATTCGGGGATCCTCGAAAAGCGATCCTTTTGGGTCTGGGGTTTAGGGTTAGGGTTTAGGGTTAGTGTTTAGGGTTTAGGGTTCAGGGTTTATTTAGGGTTTAGGGTTTAGGGTTTAGGGTTTAGGGTTTAGGGTTTAGGGTTTAGGGTTTAGGGTTTAGGGTTTAGGGTTTAGGGTAATTTGGACAACTACGCCCATGCACCCCGGGAGAGGCGGCCATTGCCTCCTCGTGAAGTGCAGATCTCGGAGTTTGGGGATTTGGGTTGAGGGCTTAGGGGTTTAGGGTTTAGGGTTTGGGGTTTGGGGTTTGGGGTTTGGGGTTTGGGGTTTGGGGTTTAGGGACCTGGGTTTTGGGTCCAAGGTTTAAGGGTTAAGGGTGTGGGGTTTGGGGTTTCCAGAGGCCGAATGCTCTTGGGGTTGATACTTCCAGTCGTTTTTGTCATACTTCACTGTTGCCTTGGGTCAGACGTCTTGTCATCCTTGTAGAATTCAGGCCCCTCAACCCTCAACCCTCAACCCTCAACCCTCAACCCTCAACCCTCAACCCTCAACCCTCAACCCTCAACCCTAACCCCTAACCCCTAAACCCTAAACCCTAAACCCTAAACCCTAAACCCTAAACCCTAAACCCTAAACCCTAAACCTAAACAGGGTGTAGGGCCCGCGCTTGTCTTGGCAGCGGAGCAACATCTGGTCGACTGAACTCGGATCACAACCTGTGGTTTTTGTCAGCTCTAAAAGCCCCAAGCCCTATGGGGACCAAATGAACCCCCAAAAGGGTTTTTGGTTCATGTGTGTGTGTGTATTTATATAGAATATATATATATATGTATATACCCTATTGCAGATGATAGCAATATAGGGTATATGATCCCAATGTTAGGGTTCATTTGGTCCGCAAGGTTGGTAATCCCTGAATGCCACAAAGTCCTCGCACCCCCCCGGGACCTGAAGAGCCCGACACCCCTACGTTCCGTACGTAACATGTAGATGGGGGCTTTGAGAGGAGGGCTACCCCTTTTTTGTGTGTTCCTAGAATTAGGATTCTTTTGGGGGGTATGTATATATATATATATATATTGGGGGTACCCCTGTTTTGGGCAGATGCCCATAGAATTGCTCAACCCTAAACCCTATCACTCTGAACAGCCCAGGTGTACCAGCGATGAGTACTTCCAGTCCGCCCGAGCTTCAGAGACCGGGCTTTGTGAGGCTTGCGGGGTTCAGGGTTGAGGGTGAAGGGTTGATCCGAACCGAGATCTCAATTTTCGGAGACCCTGCCGAAACCCAGTGTGCCCTCGTTTTGCGGAACCTACGCTATTCTTACTGGTGCTTCTTCAGGTGCACTCTGCCCCAAAGCAACCCAACAGGAGTAAGTCGGAGTAAGGGTTTAGGGTTCCGGGTTTAAGGTTTAGGGTTTAGGGTTTAGGGTTTAGGGTTTAGGCATGCATCGGCTGAAACCCACCCCTGGTCTTCTCTAGAACTGGAGCTTTGCCAGCCTACAGCCTAAACCTTCAACCAATATGGGGGGTTACGAAAATAAGGGGACCCCTAAAAAGACCCCAAATAATCGGATCCCCTTATAATACGGACCCCCCCAATAAGGTACCCTTAGCCTTCAGCCAATACTACTCCCTTCTGGTCCTGTTGTAATTATACTATTCCAACCCCCCAAAACCCTACCCTAAACCCACCCTAAACCCCAAAACCCCAAAACCCTAAAACCCTAAAACCCTAAAACCCTAAAACCCTAACACCCTAAAACCCTAAAACCCTAAAACCCTAAAACCCTAAAACCCTAAAACCCTAAAACCCTAAAACCCTAAAACCCTAAAGCCCTAAAACCCTAAAACCCTAAAACCCTAAAACCCTAAAACCCTAAAACCCTAAAACCTTAAAACCCTAAAACCCTAAAACCCTAAAACCCTAAAACCCTAAAACCCTAAAACCCTAAAACCCTAAAACCCTAAAACCCTAAAACCCTAAAACCCTAAACCCTTAACCCTAAAACCTAAAGCCTAAACCCTATTCTAAGTAATTATTAAGACCCCCTCTTATCCGACGATGCCCAGGTCCAGTCGCACAACCTCCCTGAGGGCACCACCCTAGTCGAGGCGAGGGGGTTTAGGGTTTAGGGTTTAGGGTTTAGGGTTTAGGGTTTAGGGTTTAGGGTTTAGGGTTTAGGGTTTAGGGTTTAGGGTTTAGGGTTTAGGGTTTAGGGTGCAGCATGAGGAGTTCAGAGGCGGGGGGGGGGGGGCGGGGGGGTAGGAAACTTTCAAGCTTCGTTGCTTAACCCCCTTAAAGTCCTAGTTAACCCTTGACATGATGGTAGGCAGTGAATCTGTTTGTTATGGGTGCAGGGCAGGTTGACAGAGATTGTGGTTTTGATGTGTCTTTAATCGGGGGCTCAGGGGCGTAGGCAAGGGAGTGTAAGCAAATGAGGTATCCTCTGCAAAACGGGTGTTGAGAACACCGCGCTGACCAAGCCCACCAACCCCGAAAACCCCAAACCCCTAAACCCTAAACCCTAAACCCTAAACCCTAAACCCTAAACCCACTACCCACTAAGCCCTCAGCATTCGCTGCCGCCCCGCCGCAGATTCAGTTCGAGCAAGCGCCCGAGGACGTCACTGCCAAAGCGCGCTGCCTGCCCCGCGGCCGACACTGGCAGCGGAGTTGCCCTAAACCCTAAACCCTAAACCCTAAACCCTAAACCCTAAACCCTAAACCCTAAACCCTTGTCCTTCGGCAAGCTCTGTGGGCTGCAACTTGAGGTCTAGGCCCACCAGCTTTTCGTAGGACTTCTTCGCAGGAAACTCGGGATTTAGGTGCCTTCTATCTCTAGGCGACCTAAATATACCCTAAACCCTAAACCCTAAACCCTAAACCCTAAACCCAAGGTTATGGAGTACATTTTTCAAACGCCCAGTGGGATCAAGCCGCCGGGGTTGTCCGAGGGTTGCCAGTCTGCTTGGTGGATTCTGTTTAAACCCTAAACCCTGAACCCTGAACCCTAAACCCTAGCCCCGAACCCCTCAGCCCTAAACCCTAAACCTAACTTCACATGCTGACAGTTCGATTACAGCTACTTCTTGTTCGGTAGCTGCTAGCATAAAGCAGCTTTGTTTCAGAGACCCGTGCATATGCTGCTACCATCAATAACCAGTTTAAACCCTAAACCCTAAACCCTAAACCCTAAACCCTAAACCCTAAACCCTAAACCCTAAACCCTAAACCATAAACCCTAAACACATCCATTGAGAGGTTGGTGTCTTGTGGAAGCCCAACCCCCTCGTATCCTGATCTCACAACCTCAAACACAGGCAAATGACAAGAACACAAACTCAACACCACAACTCCTCAACTCCAAAAACCCTCAGAAGCCCCTCCCACCCCCCCCCCCCCCCCCCCCCCACCCCCCTCACAGCCCCCCCAAACCTAAACCCTAAACGCCCACACCCCCGTTAAACCCAAACCCCGAAACCCTTAACCCCTTGAACCAGGAGTGCCCCTAAAGCCCCTAAACCCCCTAAGCCCCCCAAGCCCCCTAAACCCCCTAATCCCCTTAATCCCCTTCAACTCTAAGCCACACAGAGGTTCGCGCGCTTCGTGATCGAGAAGAAGATCTGCACCCCCGAGGGCCTCAAGGACTTCAAGTCTCAGGACTGCTAGGGAGCTCCTTCAGGGGAGACCAGACTCTTGGTGTGTGTATATATATATGAATATATTTGTAACTGTATACACACATACGTATGTATATGTATATAAATATATATGTATATATATATATACATATGGTACCCCCGCAAATATTTTTTAGACATGTGCATAATGTGCATAAAAAGACTTTCTGAGAAACTTCACTCTTCAATCTTGAGTTTGAGGGCCGATTCAAAACTGAAAAGGCCACACCCTTACAGATCTTCCTCTCAGAAATCCTCTAGCCATTCGCAATACAATCTATTTAGAAACCTAGATAGGAAAAGAACTCTACACTTAAAGGCCACAGCCTAGGAAATCCTCTTCTGCGGCCTCTTCATGAAAATACGATTGACTTGTGTACGATAAAGCCACAGCTTCGTTCGTAAGAAAAAAGCAAGCAAAACAAACATATTAAGAGGCCACGGTCGTCTAAGTCTCATTCGCTACTACCTATTTGGAATTTCATATTGCTGACCACACCCTGTGAAATTCTCCTGTGTCTGGCCTCGCTTCGAGCCACGGTTTAGGGTTTAGGGTTTAGGGTTTAGGGTTTAGGGTTTAGGGTTTAGGGTATAGTTTGAGGTTTTTATGATAACACCACACCCTAAGAAATCCTCTTCTGGGCTTCGTTCGTAATTAAAGCCAAGTCAAGCAGGTGTATATTAAGAGGCCAACCGCAAGACATCCTCTTCTAAGCCTCATTCCGAAACCGAGTTAGAGAACTTTTGATATTGCAGACCACACGCTATGAAATCCCCTTCTGGCCCCTATTCGCAATGAAGCTCAACTGGAATTCTGCATTATAAAGCCACGCCCTAAGAAATCCTCATCAGAGCTTCGTTTGTTATTGGACTCATTGAAGATTTGCCGGCCTAGATGCTTGTATTAAAAAAAGTCACACGATTCTGGGGCCTGTTCGTAGCAGAACCTCATCAGAACTTTCAAATTTCTTTAAGAAGCCCACAGCCTAAGAAGTTCTCATCGAGGCTTCGTGCTTAGTAACTTTTGGACAGAATGTTAAAGGCCACACCCTAGGAGATCATTTTCTGAGCCCTCTTTCGTGTTTAAATGTACCTAGAATTCTATATTTACCTATGAAATCCTCTTCTGGGGCCTCTTAATGAACTGTCAATAGGCTTGTGTATGATAAAGCCACAGCTTCGTTCGTAAAAACAGCCAAGTAAAACAAACAGGTTCAGAGGCCACGTCCATCTACGCCTCATTCGTTATTCCCTATTCGGAATTATGTATGACCGACCACACCCTTTGAAGTTCTCCTCTGGCCCTTCTTCGCAATGAAATGTAATTTGGGGTTTGTATTAAGACACCACACCCTCAGAAATCCTCATCTGCACTTCGTTAGCAATTCCACTTAAATCGACTCTTTAAACTGAGGCCACACCCCATGACATCCTCTTCTAAGCCCCACCCATAATCAAGTCTAATTAGACTTTTGAATTGCACATCCACACCCTCAGAAACACACCGTCAGAAACCCTCATCTGGGCTGCGTTATCTCTTGAGCTTAATTTCTTTTTATATTACTAGTTGCCTTCAGATGCCGCATCCAAAGACATCCTCTTCTAAGCCTCATTCGCAATTGAATCGAATTGGAACTTTACATGTTGACGCCGCACCCTACATACCGAATAGGTGAATCTAAATTAAAACAAGAGGGTGTGTGAGTGTGTGTATGTTTTCTGTGTGTGTGTGTGCAAGGCAGTCACATAGAAGAAACAACTTCTGACAAAGCATATTCTTCATACAAGAAAAAACTTTGTTGCACATTTTGCACCAAAAAGCCATCATCCAAAACCCCAAAGTTCAAACCACGAAGGCAGGGCACCCCTTCTTTATTCTCTCGAGGTCCAAACAAACAATGTTTTTTTGTGTTTTACCCTCCGCAGGATTGAGCATCCAAAAAATCACGAGGGTTTTTTGGGTTTGGAGTGAAAACCCAGAACCATATGTTTATTTGGTTTCTGAGGCCAGAAGCACCTGAAATCCAAAACAAGACACCTCGAGAAAACCAAAATTTAAAAAAGAAAGCGGTGTCCCGGCTTCATGGTTTTGAGTTTTTGGACTTTTGGTTTTTGGGGCAACATGTGAGTTTTTTGAATTAAATGCTGAGCGTGTCTCATGCGAATAATTCACACAAATGTTCACGAAATTGCATTTGTGTACTTTTTTGTTTCGGTGTTTTTCTCGGCGATGACATGCAAATAGACACACGCTTCGCACTATTCACAGGTTTTCCAACATAGAACTAGACTTGCTGAAAAAAGGAAAAGGACTTTGCCGTACATGCTCAGCATGTCATGTTTTTCAGTACTTAAACCTAGATCATGGGGGTGGGGGCGGGGGTGGGATGACCATATGTGTATGAATAAATAAATATATATATATATATATATATATGTATGTATACATAGAAGCATTATACATTGTATACTATATTAACAAACTGATATATAAAGATATATATATATATATATGGTTGCATTATATGTGTTTTACTAGAGGCTATATGCTATGTATTAATTTCTAGATACTACATACTGTATCCTGCTTTCTATATGCTATATACTGTGTACTGTACTGTATAAGAAAAACTATATACCATATACTCTATCTACTATATACTGCATACTATATACTTTATACTGATACGATATACTCTTCGCTATATACACTATTTGTATTTACATACATCATTGGCGAGCTTCATACAGAGCATCAGCATAAGCTGCTGAAATCTGTGCCACGTGCGCATGTGTCTGACGTATCCGAGGCTGTTTCACTGTTTCATTTGCAGTCGAAGTAGGTCTCAGCAATTGCGTGCTGGTGAAGTAGTGTTTAAGCATTGTGTTGGGGAGGGTTGGACTTGCAATGGTCAGCAGATCCCCCTAAACCCTAAATCCTAAACCCTAAACCCTAAACCCTAAATCGTGAATGGACAGGAAGATAGCCTCGCTCTGGATTGCCTCTGATTCTTTCAATGGCTTGGGGTTCCGAACAGCCAGAGCAGTCACCATAATTGGCCTTTCTCCCGCCTTCCCTGTCCCCCTTCTACAAACATAGGCCATACGTATTTGGTGCACATCCGTATAGAGCACGTGGGCTCCACTTCCCTGAACATCATCAACTCCCTCACACAGTACAGGCCGTGGAGGCTGTACTATGTTTGGAGGTCTTGGGGTTTAGCAGTGTTACGCCAGGGGGTTGGGGTTTTTGGTTTCGGGGGCGAACTCAAGCGAACGCTTTACAGTTCATAGAGTTTAAACGTTCGGTTTCGAGTACCCGGTTTCACAAAGCCGCTCAAGAAGCAGGAATGGTCCCTGGACGAGCGCAGGTGTACCATCCAAAAGGTCTTCTATGCCGCTCGGCAGCCCGAGGAGCAACATCGAGGTCCAGGAGCGCAATGCCCAAAACATCATGGATCAATCAAGCTAAGCCCCAAAAACCCCCGGTAAGCCCCAAAGCCCCAAAAGTAGCCCCCTAAACATTCAACCCTCCTGCCTGGAGGGGGAGCTTGGCCTGCACCAAACCCCGAGGTTTGGATTGGAGATGACCGACATCGGAAGAAGAAGCAGAAGAAAGAAGACAAGGACAGGGCATGTGGAGTTGGGTTTGAGGGTCTGAGGGTTGAGGGTTTAGGTGGCTTGAGGTAGCTTGAGGTATTTTTGAGGTCGTTTGACTAGTTTGAGGTAGTTCGAAGTAGTTCGAGGGTTTGAGGGTTTAAGGGTTGAGGGTTTAGGTGGTTTGAGGTACTTTGAGGCAGTTCGAGGTAGTTTGAAGGTTTGAGGATTTGAGGCAGTTTGAGGGCCTTGTGGATTTCAGGGTTTAGGTGGTTTGAGGTAGTTTGATTTAGTTCGAGGGTTTGAGGGTTGAGGGTTTAGGTGGTTTGAGGTAATTTGAAGTAGTTCGAGGTAGTTCGTTTGAGGTAGTTCGAGGTAGTTCGAGGGTTTGAGGGTTTGAGGGGTTGAGGGCTTATGTGGTTTGAGGTAGTTCGAGGCAGTTTGAAGGTTTGAGGATTTGAGGCAGTTTGCGGGCTTGAGGGTTTGAGGGTTTAGGGGTTTGCAGCTAAGGGTTTTGATGTGGTTATACTTGCAAGCTTATCGTGGATGGTCATAGAGCAAGGTCCTATAAGTACCTTCAGCAAGGGTGCATCCAATGGGGGGTACCTTGTGACCCTAACCCGTGAACCTTCACGCAGAGGCATGTCGCCTACCCTAAGCCCTAAACCCTAAATCCTAAACCCTAAACCCTGAACCCTCTATATACCCAGCTACAGCTCAGGCTTTCTCCTGCCACCTGACCCGTGACCCGAAACCCCAAGGTGACGCGTAGCCCAGTGGTACCCTTTTCATTTTTTGTTTCACGTTTTCTCTTATACAGTAGCCAACCGAAAAAAGGGGTACCCTTATGGTAATATGGCTTACTGGGCTACCACTGCGCCTAGCAAGGTAGGATTTCAGGATTTAGGGCTTTCGGGACCCTAAACCCTAAACCCTAAACCCTAAACCCTAAACCCTAAACCCTAAACCCTAAACCCTAAACCCTAAACCCTAAACCCTAAACCCTAAATAAACCCTAAACTCGAAGTCTGTAAGCTCCGCATAGCAAGCCCCACGCCAGGGAAAGGAGAAGGAAAAGCTGCTTGCTTGAAAGATGTTTCCGGGGGGTCGACGGGTACTTCCTTAAAATAAACGGGGGAACGCTGGAAATCGACGCAGAACGACCTAAACCCTTAAACCCTAAACCCGAATTCCTAAACCCGAAGCCCTAAACCCCAAACCCGAAACCCTAAACCCTAAACCCTCGAAGCCTCTCGGCTTCACGCTTTCGGGGTTTTAGGGTTTAGGGTTCAAGGGCTCAAGCCAAGAGTTTTGAAGCTTAGGGTTTAAGGATTTAGGGTTAAAGGGTTTAGGGTTTAAGGGTGTAGGGTTTAGGCTTTAAGGGTTTAGGGCTTAGGGTTTAGGGTCTAGGGTTTAGGGTCTATAGGTTTAGGGTTTAAGGGCTTAGGGCGTCTGAGCTCAGAATACCCCCGGAAGCGCATGAGCAGCATCAGCGAAACTCCAGTGCCCCACACCCTTGAAATCCTTGTCGAGCCCTAAAGCCCTTCCATTCTTAAACCTATGAGTCCGCGTAGCCCTTGAGTCCCAAAGTTCTGAAAAAGCGTATCGCATCGTATGAAGCCTTGGCCTCTTATTAAAAAAAGAGACATGCGGTTAAGATAAGGCCCGTGCAGCATGAACCCTTTAGAAACCTAAGCCCCTAAACCCTAAACCTCTGAACCCTAAACCCTAAACTCCAAACCCTAAGCCCTAAACCTTAGAAGCCCCAAACCCAAAACCCAAACCTTAAACCCTAAACCTGAAGCCTTAAACGCCAAACCCTACCCCCAAACCCTAAACCCTAAACCCCAAACCCTTACACCGCAACCCCCTAAACCCTAAACCCTAAACCCTAAACCCTAAACCCTAAGACCCCAGAAGCGACAGGTCAGATGCTTCTGGTCCGTGAGCCCGGTGTAGCGGGTTGGCGGTTCGGGTTTTCCGGTAGTTTAGGGGCTCAAGGTTTAGGGTTTCGGGTTTTGGGTTTAGGGTTTAGGGTTTTAGGGTTTAGGGTTTAGGGTTTTGGGTTTTGAGGTTTAGGGTTTTGGGTTTTGAGGTTTAGGGTTGGGGCTTAAGGTTTAGGGTTTAGGGCTTAAGCGCGCTTTAGGGGGGGGTTAAAACAGGGCTGTAGAGTTTGCTTCGAAAGGGTCACGGGTAGTGCGAGGTTGTCAGGAAGTTTTGCTGAGACACTTATAACACTGAATCGCAAACTACTCCCTAAACCCTGAACCCTAAACCCTAAACCCCAAACCCTAAACCCTTACTCCATGAACCTTCCGGTGGGTCGCAGGGCCTTCAGCCGCTTTGGTGTGGGACGTTGATGGGTTTAGGGGTTTAGGGTTTAGGGTTTAGGGGTTTAGGGTTTAGGGTTTAGGGTTTAGGGTTTAGGGTTTAGGGTTTAGGGTTTAGGGTTTAGGGTTTAGGGTTTAGGGTTTAGGGTTTAGGGGCCAGAGTTCAGCGGCTGAGTTCAAGGCTGTTTTTTCGGGGCTGGGTTTGGGAGGCATCAGGGTGTATGGCTTGAGGGGTGAAGGACGAGTTTGCGTAGGGTAGTTTCTAGGCTAGGAATTCTACGCTATATCTTGATGTAATCCCTGACTCTTTCTTGTGTTGATTTTGGGTGATACAAGGCGTACAATGCCAACATGGCCAACACTCGCGTATGATGGCTTGCCTGAAACGCTTGCCTTTTCAAGGAGTATCGCGTAGATCTGCCTAGCGTTTAGGGTGTTCCACAAGGACAGGAATGCGTGAAGCCATCCGGTTATGTACTATGCTAGCTGTCGACAAATCATAATCACGGCGGAGCCAGCAACTTTCACTTCAAAAGCTGTGGGACATCATCATCATCACGACCATGGGCCGTTTAGGGTGCACGTCTAGTTTACTGCTTTGGAGGCTTTTGGAAGAGTTTAGGGTTTAGGGTGTAGGGTTCAGGGCGCGTGGTTAGATCGTGAGCCATTGGCCGTCCGTGTGCCTGTGCCAACCGGCAGCTTCCTTTTAGCGCCTTTGGCTGCAGAGGTCTTCTTAGGGTTTAGGGTTTAGGGTTTAGGGTTTAGGGTTTAGGGCTTAGGGCTTAGGGCTTAGGGCTTAGGGCTTAGGGCTTAGGGCTTATTGAGCCTTTCAACTTTCTGTGACTACCCTGAATTCTGAAGACCGCAGTTGCGGAGCCTGAAAGACTCCAAGCTTTCAACCCGAAGGAAGCCCTAGTAGGAACACCCCTAAACCCTAAACCCTAAACCCTAAACCCTAAACCCTAAACCATGCTTCTCCCAACGATCTTGTGCACCTCAGGATTGCTGCTTGTGGCTGCCCGGGAGCACCGACAGGCCCGCAGGGACGGGGGGGGGGGAAGAAAGGGGGGGGACTCGGGTGGGGGGGACTCGCGAGGTTATTTCAGCCCTTAGAAGAACTCATCATAAGAGGGATATAAGCTCGGGTCGCGGCAAACGGATGCTTCGACCCGAAACTCTAAGAGAGAGAGAGAGAGAGAGAAGTCCGGAAAGAGGGGCCCAGGGGTCCTTTCTTTCTTTCTTCCGTTCTCTCTTTCTTTGTAGATTTATATATGTTATGTACATTTTGTTTTCAATTTGCTTCTGCTTTATTTCTTTATTTGTATTTCTTTATGCATTCTTGCTTCTAGCTCATCTTAGAGTTCTTTAGAAGCTTAGTACACACCTTCGGCCCCTCCACAGTCCACCGCGGGGTGCCTGTGCCTGTGCTCCAGGCAACCATGAACCGTCGTACAGACACCACTCATGGAGACCTGGCTGTCAACTTCGGGGCTGCTCTTGGGATGTTCCCCCTTATACTAACAGTCCTTTAAGTTGTTTGTGGTTCAGGGTTTAGGGTTTAGGGTGTAGGGTTTAGGGTTTAGGGCTTAGTTTATAGTACCCCCTTAGTAGAATCCCTACTACGGGTTGTTAGTAGAAGGGCGAACATCCCAAGGCTGCCCTATAAACCCTTTATATCTACCCTATAAAAGCGCTATGTAAAACCCAACAAGCCCCCTATAAACACAAGAAGCCCTGGTGAGTTGCCCTTTAGACCCTAGATGGGCCCTCTACTTGGTAGGGTTTAGGGTTTAGGGTTTAGGGTTTAGGGTTTAGGGTTTAGGGTTTAGGGTTTAGGGTTTAGGGTTTAGGGTTTAGGGTTTAGGGTTTAGGGTTTAGGGTTTAGGGTTTAGGGTTTAGGGTTTAGGGTTTAGGGTTTAGGGTAGCCGAGTGTTGCCCTCTGCCCCTATTTTTGGTGTTGGTTCAAGGTTCCCTTATAAAGTAATCATTCCAAAAGAGGGTACCCTTATTGTAATGCTATGGTTACTGGGCCACTAAGTACCCGGAAACCCCACAAAAACCCAATGTAACCCAACGAGCCCTAGAAAGACAAGAAACCCTAGACCCAATAAAGCCTGCAAAGCCCTACAAACCCTGTAAAGCCTGCAAATCCTATGTAAATCCTACGAACACCACAGAATGGCTGAAAGGCCACCTGCTTCCCGTTGTCGTAGTTCTTGGTGCCCTAAGGTGGGGTGTGTATGACTTGGAGTCTAGGAGCGCGCGAGAGGTCCGATAGTAGGGTTTGGGAGTTTTAGTTTAGGGTTTAGGGTGTAGGTTTTGGGGTTTAGGGTTTAGGGTTTGGGTTCAGGGTGTAGGGTTTAGGGTTTAGGGCTTAGGGCTTAGGGCTTGGGGCTTAGGGTTTAGGGTTTAGGGCTTGGGGCTTAGGGCTTAGGGTTTGGGGCTTAGGGCTTGGGGTTTAGGGTTTAGGGTTTAGCATTTAGGGATTAGGGTTTAGGGTTTCGGGTTTAGTTTCCAGGGCCCAGTTTTGAGTCTGGGCGCCCAGGAAATTCAGCCATCGGCCGCCGTGAACACACGAGGCTCCCCTGGCTTTATGGAACCCTTCACGGGGGTTGCTACCATAAGGATCATGCTATGGGTGGGGGTAGAGCCCTGAACTTCTAAACCTTAAACTCGAAGGGGGTTGCTACCATAAGGATCATACTATGGGTGGGGGTAGAGCCCTGAACTTATAAACCTTAAACTCTCAACCCCAAACCCTAAACTGGTGGGGTAGAGCCCTGAACTTACAAACCTTAAACTCTAAACCCCAAACCCTAAACCTTCAACCCTCAACCCCCCCTCAACCTGACCCCCTTTGGTGAGATGCCCGTGTAGGGCCCTCGGGATGTCCCCCAGAGCTTCTTTTGGAGATCTTCGCGGGGAGCCGGCTTTTTTTTTACAGGGTCTTAGGGTCTTAGGGTTTAGGGTTTAGGGTTTAGGGCTTAGGGCTTAGGGCTTAGGGCTTAGGGCTTAGGGTTACAAATCTTTTTGAAGTCCAAACGTTCCTTTTTGAAGTCCAAGACTTCCCAAGCGCGCCGAAAACCTCAGTTGGCGACGAGAGGCCCTAAACCCTAAACCCTAAACCCTAAACCCTAAACCCTAAACCCTAAACCCTAAACCCTAAGCCCTAAGCCCTAAGCCCTAAACCCTAAACCCTAAACCCTAAACCTAAACCCTAAACCCTAAACCCCCTGTGAGGGTTGCCTAAGCCCAATCCCCGCCCAAACGAGCGCAATTGATCCCCACGACACCCAAAAAAAACTCTCCAAAAGCCCCCCGAAACACCTAAGCCCTAAACCCCAAACCCTGAACCCCAAACCCTAAACCCTAACACGCGTCTAACCCCAGACCCCAGACCCCAAACCCTAAACCCCAAACCCTCATGCATCTCGACAACCCCAAAAAAGCGTCCAGCAAGACCGTCGGGCCAAGAAGTGTTCAGGGTCCAGGCCTTTTCGGGGCCTCAAGCCTAAGCCCTAAACCTCAACCCTAAACCCTACTAAACACTCCATACAGCCCCCCAAAACCTCCTTAAACCCAAACCCAAGTCCCTAAATCCTGAACCTCAGATCCCCAAGCCCTCAACCTCACGTCCCCACCCAGGCCCCTAATCCTTGCACCCGACGTCCCTAAAGCACATGAAAAGCCCTTTATAACTTACTGGCTCATAACCCAACTTTTCAACTTTTGGGCTTCTTATAAGGTACAGTAGTTTATTCTGAAAGTTTCAACTTTTATTTTCCTGGGCTTTTGGGCCAGGAAGATAAGCCCCAGAGTCACAAGTTGCACGACCTGTGGCCATCATCTGTCAGGCTCCATCTGATGCATCGCGAGCGCCTGCAGAGTCTGGCTTGCAAAACTGCCCTTACAAGGGTCCATGTGAAGTAGGGTATATATTTCTGTTTTTGGTGAGTGTATATAAGGTTCCTTTTTAATATTGGTGAGTGTATATACTTGGTGGCCTTTTGGGGGGGTACAAGAAATATAAACCCTACTTCATGTACCGAAATAGGGCACAGCTGGGCGGTGTAGTACTTCCTATACAGGGACTTTGGGGCCCAAGTATATGGTGGTTTCCGAAATTAGGGGTACCTTGAGGTCCGCATGACAAGGGAATCTCCCTGCTACTTTTATTCCCAAACTCCCATAGAATCATAAGGTACATGGACCCTTAGGGTACCTGGCTTAGGGCTTAGGTGGGGTAACTTCCTTTTGGTGAAGGGCATGACCTTGAACTCTGCATGGGCTTGGGATCTCGGTTTCTGGTTGATAGGGTGTCAGGGTTTAGGGTTTAGGGTTTTAGGGTTTAGGGTTTAGGGTTTAGGGTTTAGGGTGTCAGGGTTTAGGGCGTCAGTTAGGGTGTAAGGGTGTGAGATTTCTTCCTTGGGGACCACATGAAGCCCTAAGATTGGGATCATATGCCCTAGACTACTATAATATTCTTGGGGTATATGAACCATAAACCCTTTTCGGGTTCATGTAGGTTCCTCCGATATTACTTCAGTCAAAGGTGCTGACTGCGCACGGAGGAGACTCGCTTCTTTGGCAACCTCCCACGGCTGATGGCC